AAAGCTCTTTAAAAACATTTCAGCAGTCCTGTCTATCTTGTGCCAAAAATAGAATCATTCCATTATGTGAATCTCATGATCTTGAGGGGGAATAATGGCTTCTTTATGGACATTTCCAGGAAACATGGGTGGCCCCCTTTCAAAACATTCAAGGGGAATAGGGTGGAGTAGGGAAACACAGTGTTCAGACGGCATTCTGAAGAGGGCCTTGACTGGCACAGGGATCAGTTGTGGCTAGCTAGGAAGGAAAAGAGTGAACACTTTTGCAATATTTTTTCCTAGTTTTATTTTTACGTCAAACACTGACTTAAGTCATCTGTTCAATTTAGTAGTTGAAGACTGGCATGAAGCAATGACCTGCATAATGGGAGATGCAATATGGATGGTACGCTTTGGGCAGTGTACAGAAAAAGCAGAAAGTGGTACCAAATCCTAGCTTCAGTATTCAGATTTCATTTCTTAAGAAGGCAAAGTTCTGTCCTTAGCAGAAAGTTATTTTTTGAACACCAAATCCTGAATCCTCCTACCATCATGGTGGGGAAGTTACTTTATATTTGAAACTTAGTATCACCAAGGAATAAACGGTGAGGAGTGAGTGAACAAATTTCTTAGGAGGCTAATTCTGTCAAGTGGTATAAGAGAACTATTTTAAAAAATTTATAATGATCATGGAATCTTTTTGGCAAGAAATACCTAGCATTCAGGGTGCAGAATGTCAGTTTTCAGACAGCCTTGCTTATAGAAACAGACTAGTAAATGGCTGACATTCTTAAATCTTGTAGGATTCAGTCTTTGCTAATACTGCTTCTAGAAACACACAAAGACAATCTAAACCTCTATCCTTTGCATTAAATAATTTCATGCCGTCCCTTGCGGTTCACTGAATCAGAGCATCATTTGTGTTGTTTTTATCAGCCGGATTAAAATATGCCACAGTGAATGATTTTTCTGTACAATTTATATCCCAGCATTTTTCTGAAGAGCATGACGGTTTCGTTCCACTGTATTTTCACTACAGTCCTGTCATCTATGTTATAGCTGATAAATGTCTTACTTAATGTTATCAAGTGAACTGAGCATAGATTCAAACCTAGATCTCTAATCTGAATTCACTCTTTTATTGTCCACCTTACCCCTGTTATTGTGGCATTTGCCAGTGTATACATATAGTATTATAACAGTAACAGGAGAGAGAGAATGGGAGTGCTGTCAGCAGAGACAGACTGGGGCCATGTGTGTCCCTGTTTGGTATCTAGTTAATAGAGTAGAGCAGAAACAGTTCGGTAAATTTGGATTACTGCACTATTTCATCAACTGGGAACACTGTAATTTTCCTTTTCCAGAGTTTGTATCACCCAACCTATTTATAGCCTGGTGGTTTAGTGCCAATATTGTTATCGTCTCTTTCCAGACTTAATAAACCCAGCATCTTGGGTGTGGTCTTTTTGGTGGTGTCTGTGTTAGTGGGTGTGGGAATCGCAGTAAAACATTATACTTTTTTTTAACCCAGTTGAAAATGAAGACTTGCAAAGTTAAAAAAAAAAAAGTCAGGCCACTTCATGGAACTGCAGAAAAGTTCTTCCTGCATCATTAAATTATTTTGCCCTTAACTGCTAGTTAATACAAACAAAAATTGCCAAAATGTATTCTCTGGTGATTGATTATCATTTATAAGCATTTATACCATTCCAGTCTGGGGTCTGGCCACATCATGACACGGAGGTTGCCCTGCACTATGACCTTTTGAGGGAGACCAACAGGGGCAAAATGTCCCTGTTGGTCCTCCTCGACCTCTCAGCAGTCAACCACAGTATCGTCCTGGGGAGGCCTTCTGGGCCTGGGGATCGGTGATCAGGCTTTGTCTTGGCTCCAGTCCTTCTTAGAGGACCGCCCTCAGAGAGTGCCAAGCCCTTGGAGTCTTAATCGTGGAGTCCCCCAGGAGTCCCTCATCTGGGGGAGGTCATCAGGAGATTTGGATTTTCATGTCACCAATATGCAGATGACATCCAGCTCTATATCTCCTTCCACCCTTCTGCAGTGTAATCCCATTCCTTGAGCGCTGCCTTGATGCTATGCTGGGATGGATGAGGGGTGATAGACTGAGGCTGAATCTGGACAAGATGGAACTCCTGTGAATGGGTGCCCCTAGTGTCTAGGTTTGGGGGCCTCCCTGTTCTTTGGGTGGCTTCTCTGTCCGCTAAGGATGAGGTTTGCAGTTTGGACATACTTTTGGATCCAGCAGTATCACTGTAGCCCCAGGTAGCATCTGTGGTCCATTCCACCTTTTTCCACCTGAGGTGGATTGCCCAGCTGCATCCCTACCTTGATACCAAGTCCCTCCCCATGCTGGTCCATGCAGTGGTAGTTTCGAGATTAGACTACTGTAACACTGTGTAGCTGAGGTTGCTACGGAAACTCCAGAAGGTCCAGAATATGGTGGCCAGATTACTGAGTGGAGTAAATAAATACCTTTATAGAGTGGTGCCCCGCATGACGACGATAATGCGTTCCGTTAAAATCGCTGTGCAGCAAAATCGTTGTCATGCGAAAATAAAAACCCAATTGGAATGCATTGAAAACCGGTTAATGTGTTCCAATGGGGGAAATACCTGTTTGTCCAGCGAAGAGCCTCCATAGGGCGGCCATTTTGCAATCCCTGTCTTGTGGAAATAGATCCAGAAAACAGCGGGGAGCCGTTTTGCGGACCACCGATCAGCTGTTTTAAATCCAGCGAAAAACGGTTCCTGAAGCAGGGACCGAATCGACGTAAAGCAAAAAAACCCCATAGGAACCATCGTTTGGCGATCGCTATAGCGATTGCAAAAAAGGCATCATCAAGCAATTTCGTCGTTTAACGGGGTAAGCATCTAGTGGGGCACCACTGTATCTCCCTACTCTGGCCGCCTTGCACTGGTTACCTGTTTGTTTCAGTGCCAGCCTCAAGGTGATGATGCTGATATACAAGGTCATAAATGATTTGGGATCTCAATATCTGGCAGAACGCCTTCTTCCAGTGAGATCTGCCTGACCTACTCAATTTTCCCAGATTGAGCTGTTAGAGCATTGATTGTGAGAGAGGCCTGGAAAGAGAAGACCAGAAACGAGGAAGTTAAAACATTTCTGCAATCTGTGTGGTTGTAATGCACTTTAACATTGAAATCAATAGAATAGAAATATGTATTGCAAGCCAGAGGACTGCAGGCTTCTTGTAGGTATGTTTTTGTCTTTAACTGAAGTTACTGAGACATCTAAAAAGATTGACTACTTCAGCATTTTCAGTTTCTAGACTTCAGGGTCTTGAAATAATTCAAACACTATCTCGAATGGAATTCTCAACACCGCAGGGTGAACTTTCTCAGGATAAAGAAAAACTCTTTGGCCATTTGTATTTAATGTATGACACCAAAATCACAAAGAAGCTTCTACTGACTCTCCTCTACAATCCCTCCAAGTTTGGTGAAGATTAGATTTTAGGCACATTATACAGACACAAAATGTGTGTATTAACAATTTTTGAACTAATTTAGTGATTTGGTTTTTTTTATTCGTGCCCATCTCTAATGATCATCTTGCTGTCTTCTAGCAATATTGGTCCAGAAATCAGATTGTGATGTCCATCATAGTAGTACATGGCCAAGTAAAAAATTTATTAGGCACATACACAGGAGATTGTGGACTTCATTGCAGTGCTAGGAGACCCTTGCTTTCTTTTTATTTTCCATCGAATAGAAACCATTTATAAACGACAGTTGCAGGAGTTGTTCTTCTAACTGACTTCCATGCTTTCCATTCCAACAAATCCTTCTTATTTGTGGAGCACTGGACACATGTTTACAACCATACATAGGTTATCTGAGATGATATGCACATTTTTGGCTCTCAGTTCTTATCTCCTCCACCTTTTATTTTCCTGTTTTGAAAAGAGGAAGATTATGATTGTTTCCAACTCTTCTTAAAAAAGAATAGTTAAGATTCAGAGAAACTTTGCCTTCAAATGGACATGAACCCTTCCATTTCTTGCCTTTAAAGCCTTGGACAGCTTACTACTCAGTCAGGGACGTTTCTTTCCTGACACAGAATATGCTTGGAGGCAGTGGCCTTTTCAGATACAACATCACTGTAAACCTGGATGGTTGGTGGTGGTTGTTTTCCTTGATTTCTTCTATTGCTTATGATTTAGGTGGGTGGTGATTAGGTTAGCAATAGGAACAATATGTATTAAATGCCTTTGACTGCTCTTCCCCTTTCTGGCTAGTTTTTGCATTCTCAACCTTTTTTTGGCCACAGTCCTTTTAGGAGCTCATCTTAGGTTCCAGGGGCCCTGGTCAAACAAGGAAAGGGGTTGTCTGTGTGTAAACAAGGATACAACACAAACAGATGCATCTGTGCCCCCTTCAAATTAGGGCCCCCTAGCCATTGAGAATGGCTAGTATAAAGGATACTAACTGCTGGATAGCACAGTGGTTTAGGCATCTGGCGGCAGAGCCAGAGGTTGGGAGTTTGGATCCCCACTGTACTTTCTTGACATGGGCTGGACCCAATGGTCTATAGCAGTGGTCCCCAACCTTGGGCCTCCAGATGTTCTTGGACTTCAACTCCCAGAAATCCTGGCCAGCAGAGGTGGTGGTGAAGGCTTCTGGGAGTTGTAGTCCAAGAACATCTGGAGGCCCAAGGTTGGGGACCACTGGTCTATAGGGTCCCTTCCAGCTCAGCAGTTCTAAGATTATAGTACTACTTGATACATAAGCTGAAAATATCAGTATTAATTGTCTGTATCATGGAAACTTTTTCTTTTCCATGTTGTGATTTAGCCCATGTCAGTTCATTTCAGATGTTGTATAAGTACATGAGTAGGAAACCATCCTGCACTGCCAAATCAGTCCTGTCTGGGTTAATACTGTAAGGCACTCTGTGTTCCTCATCATGGGCTTCTATATTTTGATGAGGGGAAATAAATTTTATTCTGTTGAGTAATTATTATTTTGTGTCCTCTGTTTCAGTACATGTTACTATGGCAATGACTGCTGGGACTCCAACATCCTTTCCTATGAGTAACCACACCCGGGAGAGAGTGACTGTGGCCAAGCTTACCCTGGAGAACTTTTATAGTAACCTAATTTTACAGCATGAGGAAAGAGAAACCAGGTATGAGGTGGTGGATTTTTGTGTGTGTGTGTGTGTCCTTTCAGAGTGCCACATGTAGATGAAATGCTTCTCTTTCCCCCCACAAAATGTTTACAGTTCTGCCAGGTAATTGATTTGGGAGGGGGAGGCAAAAGAGGAACATCCTTGTGAATTGTTGTTATATGTTAACTGTTTTTATTCTATTTGATGTGAGCTGCCCAGAGTAGACATTGTCTAGATGGGCGGGATACAAGGTCAATAAATAAATAAATAAAATAAAATGAATGAATGAATGAATGAATGAATGAATGAATGAATGAATAAATAAATAAATAAATAAATAAATAAATAAATAGAATCAAGACATGAATGATTGACAAAGTTGACTCTGCCTGGAAGTTCCAATGTAGACTAAAAAAAAGGAAAAGAGCTCTTTAAACAGCAATCCTATATCCATTTATGGGGAAGTAGCCATCCTACAACTCAGTGTGACTTATTTTTGAGTAGATCTTTGAAGGATTGCCCTGCTGACCCTTTTCCCAATATGGAAATAACAAAAGATACACTTGCACAGTTTTCTTGTGCATTTCAGCTGCTAGTCTGCAAAAGCCTCTGTTGACTAAGATTATCTTGTTAATTACATACCAGTAGCAACCTTACTTGGAAGCTGATTGCCTGGCCGTGATGACAAATGCTATAGTAATCACCAGGTCACACTATCGTGATATATCACCCTGCCTTTAGAAACCAGCTCAGAAACTGAATTTGGTGCAGAATATAGCAGCAAGATTCTTAGTGGGAACTTGGCATTTCGCCAGTATGCCTCTGTTTTATCAGCTGCCCAGTTTATTTCAGGTCTCCACTTAAAGGGCTAGTCTTAACCTTTAGAGACAGAAATGGTGTGGAACAATATCTGAAAGACTGCCTTCAGCCTCCTCCTTAAGAACATCTTAAGAAGTCCTGCTCTTGAGTACCCCCACCAAATGAGGAAAGGTGCATGCCCATTACTGAGAGCATCTTTTCAGTAGTGGTTTTTACTCTGAAAACCACTGCCTCTTACGTGGTATCAATGGCTATTTTAGTGCCAGGGCTTTGAAGCATTTTATAGTTTCTATAGCTTTCATTTCAAAATTCCACGTTTTTATTTGCCTCTTTAGTTTTAAATTGTCTTATAATATTTTAATGTATTTTTGAGCTTCCTAATCAGCAAATAGCTACCTGGTAACGGAAGCTCTTTGTTTCCATTGTGCCTTGTGTGACTACAACTAGCCTATGTGGCCTCAGACAGGCTGCATAGTCCCAGGGCACCCCAAGAAGAAGGGAATGATAAACTACTTCTGAGTACTCTCTACCTGAAAAAACCTGAAAAGGGTTGCCGTAAGTCAGAATTGACTTGATGGTACATGATGATGATGATGATGATGATGATGATGATGATGATCATTCAACAAATAACTGACTGATCCATAGAAGAACCTGAGATCTTGAAAGAGTTTTTGACAGCTTTGTTCTTTACAAAACCTGGCTTGTATTTTTTTTTGTTCTTGCTAACATGCCATATTTTTCAATGTATAAGACGTTACCTTTTCCTAAAATCATTACATTAAAAATTGAGGGGCATCTTTTACACAGAAATAAGCTGAGATAGCTGAGGAGAGAACAAAACGGCCCGTACCTTGGCTCTGTAAACTGACTTCATTCAATCACAAGGCTTAGCTGCCTCCAGTCAGGAGGCTTAGCTTCCTACAGTCAGGAGCCTTATGGAATTGATGTCAGCTGATGCTGCACAAACCAATTGGAACACACCTCGTTGGAGGTGGAGTCTGTAGGCTCAGATTCAACAGGGACTTGTAATGTCCGACGTTCTGAGCCCAGAGGTCAAATACTCAAAGCTTTCTTAATTTTGGGGTTAGAAGGGGGGCATCTTATAAGCGGGGGCATGTTATAAACAGAAAAATATGGTAGTTTATTTATTTATTTATTTCCATTTTTATACTGCCTCATTAGTATTGCCACTCTCTCTGGGCGGTTTAAAATATGCAGTAAAAACACAACAACACAATATAATAAATACAAAAGATACAATAAAATTACAATTAAACCCTGTCACTAGGTGAAACTACTTTTAAATAAAATACACAGATTAAAAACCATTTGATCACCTTCTCTGTGGGATCCAACCAAGGAAATGTTCTCTCTCAAATTAGAATTTGGACTTGGCATCAGCCAACCTGTCGTACATTCTTTGTTCCAAGTCTTCTTATTGATGTGGCTTCAAGTGAAGTGAATCACTGTTCTGATAGTTGTATAACTTGTGCCTTTTGTGTACCAACACAGGCAGAAGGAACTAGAAGTGGCCATGGAGGAAGAAGGTTTAGCGGATGAAGAGGTAATCAAAGTTTGATGCCTTTATGATTTATTGTGCAGAAATGGTGCTTGGATTACATATGAGCCCATCCATGAGTAATTTTCTTTAAAATTACATTGCCCAGAAAAAGCCAGGAGCAGTGAGAGGAAACAGGAGGCCAGCAGAAGAAAATTCTGAAAGTATTAAGTCCACTTTCTTCATGATGAAAAAACAGGGTTGCTGCATTCAGTAAGCAGCAAGGTGATATAGAAGGAATTCTTGATGGCAGGAAAAAAGAATTATGTGCTTATATAAGTGTTATCTTAACAAGTCTGTTCAGTGGCTTTGCTCTAGTTGGGATTAACAGTTGCATTTAGCCCATTCTGCTAAATTATTCTAATTTTTGTCATAGAAGCCCTTTAAAGATTCTGTTTTAAATTTAACACCACTAAGGAACTGAATATAATGAAGGCTCTGGATTAGCCACTCTACAACCTGGCAGAGAGGCTCATCATCCCACCTTCTGCCATGAGTGGCTAATCAATCTATCACGAGCAACGGATCGATAGGAAGGCTCCTTGGAGCCAGCAGCAGCAGTGGAATTGTGAGGGGTCGGTCTGGCCCAAGGAGGCCGGACCCTTGTTATCTGCACCTGTGGGGGGATATTTGTATTTGTAAACAAATACCCTCATCTCTACATATATAAACATAGATCTAGCTGGAACCTAAGAGCCAGAAACATTTGTACTAGCAACAAAAATTCAATTAATCAAGAAACTATCTAAACTTCTAGTAGTATTTTCATACTTACATTTGCTAGATAAAACCGGTGTATAATGTGGGGAGGAGGCTAGAGAGAAGCATTTATTAGGAGAAAAAGCTCAACTCTGGTAAATCTCGTATAAAGGCCATTTTTATTTTATTAGATTTATACCACGCCCATCTAGACAGATAGTCTATTCTGGTCAGCATTACAAAATTTTAAAACAATAGAACCAATGTGAACATGCAAAAATCCAAGATGTAAAAATGTAAACTGTAAAAAACAGTAGGAGGAAAAGCCCAATTAACCTTTGTTTTTTGTCTCAGAGCCTGAAGAAAGGGTGTTTGTTGGGGAAATTAACAATGAGAAAAGGTTAAGCCCCACTGCCTGTCTGCCAATCCCCCCCCTTACATATTCTGGCCCTATATTAGCTTTACACTGCAAGAAATAGGATCTGGCATGTTACATTTACCTTATACGGTGCCCTTCTGACCTTCATAATTGTCTTAGTTATTGTCTTGTGATAGATCTACCTTTATGCGCAGGAATAAAGAAGACTTTTTCAGTAGTTATGTTTTACAGCTGTTGTAACTCAGTGAATTTGGGCTGTGTGGATTTGTTTCCTTGTTTCCTCCCTGGCATTTAGGTCATTATGTTTAAAAAGGTAACCGCAGTCATGCAGGAAAAAAAAATCACACTGATAATTTTATCTACTTCTCAGGGTTATATTTTGCCCTTCTTACAAAAGTGGAAAAAGTGACTGGCCACAGGATAGAATAAAAAGAATGCAATTAATATAAAATATTCTGAAACATAAAGTGTTAAAAACATAGTAGCTAAAATCCTGTTCTGTAGGCCTGTTAGCACAAGTTGAGCAGTGCAAATGGAGAGTTCTCAACAGCTTGAGAAGTAGCAGCTCTTCCAACTTGTGCACCATTCTTGATACACTCACTGACTTCTTAGCTAGAGGAAATCTGCTACTGAGATTTACACAGTTAGACTTAAATGCCAGTGGGCATAAATCATAAAATTAAGGCTAGTTTAAAGTACACTGGTGGGAAACAAGCTGCACTTGGAAAAAGCCCCTTCCACAGCAACTGTGATCAGTTGCCAAAGGCCCTCCTGAAGAAATAAATACTTGCCTGCCTGTAAAAGGATAGCTGGAAGGGAGCCAGCCTAGCTTCCTTTTGCAGGGGAGAATTACTAGGATGAGCTCATCCATTAGGAAAAGTCAGATGATGCTCCATCTGAGGCTCAGAGTTGCTCAAGACAGTCCATTCTTGGTTTCCTCCTTTCTGGGAGTGCAGGGTCAGGGCCCTGCTTGTGTTCTTCTCCTGATGAACTTCTGGACCTGCACGCCTAGTATGTTGGTTTGTGTGTATACATGTGTGCAGGAGCAAGTGAGGAAGGAAGAAAATGAGAGAATTAATATGAATAAATAAACCAACTGCCAAGCTTTGGGATTATGCGTGGAGGGTAACAATAGCAAGTAGAAACTTTTTTCATTACAGGGCAAGGTGTACTCTCTCTTTTTTGGGGTCTTCATCTGAGTTGTGGAATGGATGAATGAACTGGATGGTGGGGAAACAGCATCTGAGTGAGTGAGTGAGTGAGTGAATAGCTTTGCGTCTCCCTGTATCCACACATATGAAAGTGTTTCTTAGTGTGGATACCCGTTTTTGCCCCTGTCTGCCTGTAAGCGTCTGCTGATGGCTGCTGTGTTCTGGCCCACCAACCGCAATGAGTATATTCCACCACTGGGAATGAGAAAACATGGAAGTGGCCACTAGGAAGTCCCAGCTTCAAGTAGATATGCACAGCTCAGCTGGAAGTAAATTTCAAAACTGGTTACCAGAGCATGAGGGACTATGAGTTCAAAGGTAAGGTACCTAACAGATCCTAAACAAATTTATTCAGAAATAGCTCCCACTAAAGATAGCATCTCTTATTCTGAGATAGTAATTAGTATTATGATTACTGTGATTATAATCTTAATGCTGTTGCATTCTTAATATTTTAATTTATTTACTTACCTTTCTGAGCGCCCGTCGCTTGTCCCAGCTCCCGCCAACCTAGCGGTTCGAAAGCATGCAAATACGAGTAGATAAATAGGGACCACCTCGGTGGGAAGGTAACAGCGTTCCGTGTCTAAAAATCACACTGGCCATGTGATCACGGAAGATTGTCTTCGGACAAAACGCTGGCTCTATGGCTTGGAAACGGGGATGAGCACCGCCCCCTAGAGTCGAACACGACTGGACAAAAAAATTGTCAAGGGGAACCTTTACCTTTACCTTACCTTTCTGATGAAAGCACTCAAAGTGATCTGTAAACAATTAAAATGATTTTACTTAGACAATAAGATTTCATCGGTATTGCCTGACCTTAACCACCCTTTGCAGTAGGAGTACCTTAGAATGTCAATAATAATCACTAAAAATGAAGCAGCCCAAAAATGCAGCTAAAGATACAAAATAAAAGAGTGGAATATGTTGACAAATTTTAATATCTTGGAGTTCGCTTGAATGAATATTGGAATCGTAGTCATGCAAGAAAAGTCAAAATGGACTGAAGCATCTTCTTTAAGATGAAGAATGTGATACGCCAGAAAAGCTTTAAATTGCCTGTGGGAATACATACTGTCCATTGCTCAGTATTCTCAATTTTACTGCATGTGATGGACAAGCTACTATAAAAATGTAGACGTTTGAAGTATTGAATTTATGGCAAGATGACAAGACATTCTCAGATCAAGAAGGTGGCCGATGAAGTATTAGGGTGAATGAATAAAGATCAAGAAACAAAGCTTTAATCTGTTGCCCCTTGATGAGAAACAAAGACCAAACTAAGTAGAGATGGGAAAGGAACATATTGGAGGAAAAACCTTAAAAGATGGGTGTGGATGCAACACTGCATCAGCATTGAGAGGCACTGTGTCTAAAGTCAGTGTAGCTATGATGACGTCCAAAGGCCAGTAAGAGAAGAACAAGAAGAGGATGAAGAAGGGGAGTGCTTTGCAGTATAGCTTGTTTCTACACAATTCATTTCTTTATTTCAGAATTTCTTTTCCATTAGGCTTACTTCATAGTTTAAATGTACCTGTCAGGAAGTATGTGTCCCACATGTGGCAAAGGCAACAGAGATTAGTAACATTCTAGGATAGGAGCGATACTGTGGCATACACAAGCCTTTACATTTTCTAGCTTTGCACCATTTTAATCACCTTCTTTATTCTGATGGTTTGTTAAATAAAGGCAATATTACCCCCAAAGTATGTGCATGCACCCCTCTGTTAAGTAGCCTTAATTTATTGAACAGTGTACTCATTAAACACGTAAGCAAATTCATTATGCTAACGTATTCGTGAAGGCTTTCACGGCCGGGATCTAATGGTTGTTGTGGGTTTTTTGGGCTCTGAAGGTTGTTCTTCCTAACGTTACGCCAGTCTCTGTGGCCGGCATCATCACATACAGAGAGCACAGAGTGCTGTCCTCTGAAGATGGCGGCCACAGAGACTGGCGAAATGTTGGGAAGAACAACCTTCAGGACATGGCCAAAGAGCCCAAAAAACCCACAACAACGATTATGCTAACCTTGCTGCAAACAATTTATTTTTTGTGGACAAATTCTACACAGAATATTGACAGCCAAGGCTGTTTTCACACTAACAACATGATACGTACAGTAAAAATAATGAGTTAAAAACAATACAGTATATCAAGTAAATATTCAAAACAGGCATAGAACTGGGTCAGTTTAAAAATACCTTGACACCACAAGCATTTAAGAACAGATTAAAGGCGTATTTTAGAACAGCACTTAACACATTCTCTCTGGAACATATTTGTGACTCTTTATTCAAACATATTTCCCACCATTATTTTTGACAGTCCTTAATTCTTGCAAAGTGAGAAAATAAATGGGAACATCTACTTTTTCTATTATTATATGCTGTTACATTTTCTATAGGGTAAATTCATCTTAGCACTACTTTAGACCATGCTGGCTATAAGATAATCTAGTTGTCTTTATATGTTACACTTAGAGTAGTGGTATGGCCACTGCTCTGCCAATAGTTCTTTGGCATTAAATTGAATTTTCATTATTGCTCCATAATATGCATAATATGGAAAAAAACTCTGTAAAAAGTGGAAGCGTTGTTGAGCAGTGTGTGTGTGTGTGTAGAATGCCACCTTGTGGCTTTAATTGATGATTATAACAAGTGCAGCCTTTCCCTTTACTGAGGCATTTGCAATTTTCTTTGGTGATTTTTGTAGAGCAAAAACTATAAATGCTGACTATATCACTGCTTTTCTAATACTGTAGTAAGTAAATTTCTGAATGTCATTGCCCATTTTGTCACCTTTTTGTTGAACACAGGGCATGGATTTAAAACAGTTGGTACTATGGATTTGAAACAGTTGTGTATGGGACATTTAAAGTTGCCTTATCCAAAGTTGGACCATTAATCTGTCTGCCTTCATTACTGTCTATTCCCAATAGCTGCAGCTTTCCAGGTTCTAAGCTGTGGTAATGTCACTTCCCATTTGACTCCCATCACCAGGGATAAAAATTTCTCCAGCAGGCCTGAATTTCCTCATTGAGGAAGGCCTTTAGCAGCCATCTGATAGCCATAATGGAATTTAGCTGGAGTCCTTCAGCAAACTGTTTCCAGACAAAATGGACAAGAGCAAATATTAAAAACTAAAATTCATTCAATAGAATAGAGATAAAAGGAGTCCTACATGTTTTTTATTGTTGTTGTACTCCAGCTTTTTAAAACAATATACAATATTTTTTAAATATTAAAGTTAAAAACCAAGGATGAGAGAAACAGATTTTTAACATAAAAGTGTATCTCCCCCATGAATAGTAGGCCATAAATGTGCTTGTACATTGTAAGGGTTTATTTGTGGTTTATTCAATACTGTGTTGCTCTTCTATTATATATTTAGCTGCTGATGTAACCATTACTTTTAAGTGGGTTTTACAGTTTTTGAATTGTTATACTTAGGCAGCATGTTGTGACTTGCTTTGGGCATTATTTTTGGAAAAGCAGGAAGCAAATAAATTGAAAGGGGTTTTGGTAAAGATAATCAATGGGGATAAGGTCACTCTATCTAAAAAAGGATCCAATCATATCTCATTAGATGTCTGGGAATTTTTTTTTAAAGGCTTAATCTAGAAGCTATATATTTCATCCTGGTCTTTTGACATATGAGAGTGGTTTTAAAAAAATCTGCAAAATCTCTGCTACTGCAGGAACTCCAGGTGAATGGCCATTCCAGATGAGTGGAAACGTTTTGCTGGATTAAAATTCCTGAACCTGATGAACAAGAGAGTTGCTATCACTATCGTGGGGCAGGCCTTCTAACTAGGCTGTGTTCTGCCCTGCTCACCATGAAATATCTTACACTTCTGTGCTTCCTGCTGACCCCTTACCTCATTACTCCTCAATGGTCCAGAGAAAAGTTTGGGCTCCATCTAATGGGAGACCAATTTGCTTTTTTGGGAGTCCTCTCCCGCCAACCTAGCGGTTCGAAACCATGCAAATGCAAGTAGATTAATAGGGACCACCTCGGTGGGAAGGTAACAGCGTTCTGTGTCTAAGTCGCACTGGCCATGTGACCACGGAAGATTGTCTTCGGACAAAAAACGCTGGCTCTATGGCTTGGAAACGGGGATGAGCACCGCCCCCTAGAGTCGAACACGACTGGACAAAAATTGTCAAGGGGAACCTTTACCTTACCTTGAAGCTGACAGCTAGGTAGCCAAATCTTCCCCTTATGCTGGCCATCATCCTCTTCCAGGCTGGGGCATCCTTTGTTTCTCCATTTCTGGATGCTAGAGATAATCTCATCCCATTTTTGGAAACATAATGAAAGTATTGTTATAAGTAAATTAATCTCATTCATCTTCTTTTCTTAGCATAATGGCTATTTTAAGCTTTCTCACAGTGATTACCTAATTCTTCCCTTCAGAAAAAACTACGAAGATCTCAGCATGCGCGTAAAGAAACTGAATTTTTACGGCTGAAGAGAACAAGGCTAGGCCTGGATGATTTTGAATCGTTGAAAGTTATTGGAAGGGGTGCCTTTGGAGAGGTTTGTAATGTTGTGCTTTTTCACAGGAGTTTCTGTTTCCAGGGTATTTTCTTGTAATATTAGATTCACAGGACACTTCTGTAATGTTGATGATGTAATGGCCAGGGTTGGAATAGATTTCTACTTTTTCAGTGGCAAGTCATAAATCCAGTATTATTCTAGTGGCAGAACATTCCACTCTGCTAGTGCTTAACATAAGATGAGAATTTTTCATTTTCTAGCCTTACTCTCAGATTTTTCAAGACACAAGTAAGAGTGTGCTTATGTTATACATTCAACAGGATAGTTTCTATATTTCCGTCCTACGTATTTACTTAAGCTCTTCTGGAGTCTTCACAGTACTGTTGTCTGCTTCTGGTGCCACGTTCTGTCCGTACTGCCTCTCTGTCATGCTCGTCCTTCCCCCTCAGAATTGTTCCTAAGCCAGTCCATTCCATTTTTATTCAATGTGTTGAACTTGGATATCATTGCTCAGAGGTGCACTTCAGTAATAACTTTCTCTCCCACCAAAAAAAAAAATTACAGGTACGCCTCGTTCAAAAGAAAGATACGGGTCATATTTATGCAATGAAGATACTACGAAAAGCTGATATGCTGGAGAAAGAGCAGGTATGGGTTTAATATACATTTAACATACCTTTAGGTGCTTCAAAGTAATAATAATGAACGGAGTAAGATGTGTCTTAATAGCATGACTATAATGCTTTAAAAATATTGTATTTATGTGAATTTCTTGTCATACCATTTCTGCAGACTCTTGATTGCCACTAAAGATGGGAGTGTCATATCTGTCTCCCCTAGAAAACGAATATGAGGCTCCCATCTCTAACTGCTGCTGTGATACCTTGTTTGTCACTGAAAACAGAAGTGGCAATTTACTGCAGTGTGACTATACTAGGCTGGAATCTTCTTGCCCTCTTCTGTTTGTGCAGGGCTCTGTTGTGCAAGTACTCAGGCTTTTCTGGAGCCTGTGCAGGAAAGTATCCAGTATGTGTGAGCTTTCCTGAAAACAACAGGAACAATCTTTTTATTGAGAGCCAATTGGTGGCTGTGGAATGTGGTGGGCAGTGTTACATACTACATGTGATGCAAAAGGATTCTGGCCCTAATTTGCAGAGAAGTTCAGCGAGATAGAATAAGCATTAGTTGAAATCAAGAGTTTTGAAACTTCTGGAAGACAGCCAAACTAGAAAAAGTTGCGCACTTTCCTTGCACTTTTAAAAAACAAACTAGAAGCTTGTGGGCGTCTATATATGAAGTAATGATACTTTGAGTCTTTAGGAATAGGTGTTGTACAGCTTGAATAACTCTTTATAAACCTTTTGAATGGTGTAACACCACTCTTTCCACTGGTTTGTATGAAAATACTACACAACTAAAGTTCATCACTCAGTTGGAAAAAAACTGTGACACTATTCAGGCACAGTTGACTAGAACACTACCAGTCACAGACTGTTGTGAATCTATATACACACAGCTTTGTCCTCTAAAATAATGTGTGACAAGGCAGGGAGCCAGGAGGAGTCTCTACATCTGGAAGCACTGCCTAGTAGAATATGAAGTTGCTGTAAAGTTGCATTTGAAGTCAGTGCTTTATCCCCGAAATGTTGGACAAATGTGCACTCATATGAATTGCCTCTCACTACTTATAAGTTTCTTTTGTGAAGTGGGCTTCAAGTTTGCTGAATGATTAAGTTTTTCTGATTCATATATTTGTTGCTAAGTGGAGAAGATTGACATTTAGGTCTTATTGAACTTAAGTTGAAATTGACCTCCTTGACACTGAAGTCTGGAGTTAATTGCTAAAATTCAAATGATAACAGTGGGACTGGTGCATGTCTTACCTTCCATGGTGGCATCTAATAACCAAACAAACAAGGCTATTTCAGGTATATGTATTTGTGTGCATAGCTGTAAGCTCTCATTGTACTTAGTTAGTGGCCAGTTTTAGGAAGCCCAAGATGCAGCATTTAAGAATAATGAATTTATCACATTACAAATGAGTCTGCAGGTCAGATGCGGCGGATAGCAATTCAGCAGGTATCTTTTTCAGGAACAGGAAGTAGAAAAGTGGTTGCCTTTCCTATTAACACAAGCTTTTATTTTGTCTGGAAACTTTTCTACTGTAGGTAGCTCATATACGAGCAGAAAGAGATATCCTGGTTGAAGCAGACGGTGCCTGGGTAGTGAAAATGTTTTATAGTTTCCAGGACAAACGTAACCTTTACTTGATCATGGAATTTCTGCCTGGAGGTAAATAGAATGGTCAATATTGGAGTGGTCAACATTATGTCATTTTGTCTAGGCAAAGAGCAAGACCAATGAATTGGTGCCAAATCCTGAAGCCCATTCCTAATTCCTTAAATGCTTCACACTGGTCTTTATTCTTTGAAGTAGCAATATCAAGACAAATCAACTGCTGGGCAAAATTGTGTACATTGGCATAAATCGAAGGGCATAAATTACATGCACGATTTATTACTAGTCAAGCAGTCAGCACACTTATTTCTTGTCACATATCAGCTCACGCAACTGGTGCATGAGAAGGAGTACAAGCTTCTTAAGTAGCAGTAAGTCACTGCTACAGATTATGTGTTTGACATATGGCAGCATAAGTAAATAACAGGATTCTGGCCATTCAATAAAAAAACAAAGAAATTTTGATAGTTGTCAAGGCAAATTTGTATAATGTAGAAATGGCTACCTTTTTCTTCCAGTTCTCCCCACCCCAGTAACTAATGAAAAGAGTCTTTTAAATCTGTATCAAAGTGGTTTGCTGCTGTGGTTTTATGGTGGAACAGATAATCTTCTGTCATTCTATTGTTTTCTGCATTATAATTTAATTATAAGCTGAAATATAGTGTATTTTTCTTCTTGTTTTAAGGTGATATGATGACCTTACTTATGAAGAAGGATACGTTATCAGAGGAAGAAACACAGTTTTATATATCTGAAACTGTGCTGGCCATTGATGCCATTCACCAACTGGGTTTTATTCACAGAGACATTAAACCAGATAACCTACTACTGGATGCAAAAGTATATAACACTTTTATGTTCCTTATTTTCTGTGGCTTTGATTGTTGTTGTTGTTTTGTTTTTGCTAGAGACCTAAGGGAGGGCTGATTTAGAAGGTTTTCAGTCAATAATTTTTATCTGAAGCTCAGAGAGGGAGTGTTTTGATTTAAGAGGAATGATAGGACTGAAAAGGCAGAATTGTACAAACTTGAATTTGCTATTTGAAATGTAGTATCTTTCAGTCACCTACACTTTTGCAGATGGAAGGGTTTCAATAAAAGGGCTTAAGAGGTTAAACGTTTATACCAAGTAATAAGAGAGTAGCTCCTGAGGCATATTGGCCGAAACCCTCTTCCCTAATTATGCTGGTGTTATGCCAGTGGCATAACTTTTGGAGGCCAATTATTATGCAAATATATTAATTTAAAGTTTTTCATTTAAATGTTATTAAATTAAATATTTTTAATATTAACATTACTATTTTAATGTTCATTAAATAATGCCTGTCTCTCTCCACTTGAACCTCCCCAGGGTTTAAAACCTTGGAGGGAGGCCAAGAGTTTCTCAGGCTGTGGATCCCCCTTCCTCCCACTGTCCTTCTTTTGGCAGTCAAAGGCATTTCTCTTTAAGCGAGATTCTTAACTAGCAGAGAAAGGAGTTTTTAAGAGTGGATGAATTATTTTCTTTAAACAAGTCTCTCTGTGTGTGTGTTTAGATTGTCTTTATGCTTAATTGTATACGTACTGTCCTTCCATAGCCTGGCTTTAGGTTCTGGATGAAGGCTAGATATAGGTTCCATGGGGAATTCCTTGGAACCAAAGCATGATGGGAAGTATAGTCTCTGAGGTTACTAACGCTCAGCAAAAGATAAATGCACAGGCTGCCCTTCCCATTACGCCTTAGTTCTGGGAACCTTCCCTTGGAACTGGCATTCAAGAAAGGAGACAGTGCTGCAGAGTGGCACTTCTTTGATTCCGTGTGGCTGCCATTGCTCATATTTCTTGTGGCGAAACAGATTGGGCTTTTTAAAAAGCCATTAAGTGTATAGGTGTATGTGCAGTGGGGCACACTGACTTGGCTGTGAGTGAGCAGTTACCTGTGTTGGATTGCACTCCGTTGTAATCAGTGCTTTAGGCTTCTAATTCTAATACTATTTAATGAACTAAATTTTTTTCTTTGTAAATAATAATCAGCTTTGAGTGACTAGTGGTGGGTATTTATGGCTTAATTCTCAATAAATCTATTTCAATGAAAATAAAGATTAAAGTAAAACAGATATTATTTTAAAGGATATTCATAGTTAATAATCTGCAGAAAAGTATTTGGAGATTATTAAGTACCGTATTGCACTTTAGTAATTTGATTTTTATCCAGCTTTTACGACGCTCATGGTGCAGTGGTTAAACTGCTGTACTGCAGCCAAATCTGTGCTCACAACCCAGGGTTCAATCTCAGGTAGCTGACTCAAGGTTCATTCAGCCTTCCATCCTTCTGCGGTTGGTAAAATGAGTACCCAGCTTGGGGGGGGGGGATATGTAGCCTGCATAATTAACTTGTAAACTACCCAGAAAGTGCTTTAAGCTGTGTAAGGCCATATATAAGGAGCACACTTAGCTTTTTGTCCCAGTATTGGGACATAAAACAGTTGCCTGGTCAGCCTTCTGCTCTGTAATATGAATACAGTGGTGCCCCGCATAGTGACAATAATCTGTTCTGGAAAAATCGTCACTATACAGATTCATTGCTATGCGGAACAAAAAAGCCCATAGGAATGCATTAAAACATGTTTAATGCGTTCCTATGGGCAAAAAACTCACCGTTCTGCGAAAATCCTCCATACGGCCACCATTTTCGCTGCCCGGTAAGCAAGGAATGGGCGCGAAAATACTGCGGGTGACCTTTTTTTTTTAACCCACTGGCCATTTTGGAACTGCCGATCAGCTGTTACTGCGGGTGACCATTTTTTTTTACCCACTAGCATTTTGGAACTGCCGATCAGCTGTTAGGAAAACATCGCTAAGCGAAAATCGGTAAGCAAAACAGCTTATCATTTAAAACATCGCAGTGCGATCGCAAAAATGATCGCAAAAAAAATCGCTATGCGGATTCGTCGTTAAACGTTATGTGGGCCACCACTGTATACATATATATTTTGCATTTACTTAAAGTACAGCAGCTATATCTGATTATGACATGTCTCCATGTATTGACTTAAACTGGCATAAGCAGTTTTAAAAGAAAAATATCCCTCTTTTTGGTAATTTTTGTCTTCCATGCATCCCTTTATGGTGGTGCAGCAATCTTCCCCCGCCCCATCCCTGTTATTCCACCATCATAATTCTGTGAGCTGCCTTTGATTCCTGCTTTGAGAACAGGGTAGGGTAATAAATGGAATGAAATAAATGAAAATAAAATAATTGATTTTGAATAAAAGCAAACCCACTGCATGTGCCACAGTAACTGCTTGATTAACAAACTAGTCTTTAGGCACGTTTAAATTCCTCCAAGTTCAAAGGGATTTGCTGAATGTATACAGGATTGCACCATGATTTAGCAACACCAGTATTATTGTACGTAAGAAAATGTTTTTATTGCTGATGTTTGCAAGTATTACTAGAAAACTGTATCTAAAGTAATTTGGCTTTGTAACTGTCTGTGGAGCATTAGCATTAATGCAGGAGATGTGCACAGGAAGAGGCCACTAGTGTGGGATTTTTGCTCTACTCTCATTTTAGCTGCCTGCTTGGATTAGTGTGGATCAGCAAAGCCACAGCATAATGTGTAGCTGTTTGATATTGTCCATTGCATCTCTACTTGAGACAACATTTTGTGCATGATCCAGAGGGCCCTGTGCAATCCTGACCAGAAAGTATAAACCAAGAGAATAAAGCAAAGAAAAGATATATCAGGTTATAGCAGAGGCTCCTCTGGCTTGACAGCTGCCCCAACACCAGGACTGCAACTGGAAGTATGAATCAACACGGTCCTATTGTGCCTTTGGATGCTTTTAGAAGCACTATAAAATACGTAGTCTCCTTGCTAACCTATTTCTTTTCCCTATTCCAGAGGCAGTAACACAAATAATGTGTTCTATATGTACACTTAATATTGTCTTGTTTACCTTAGGTGCAAAATCAATGAGAGTGAAAATCCTACTTCCTTATACCAGACTCTCATTTTGTATTTTCCTCTTCTGAATTAGTCAGTTTAAGTACATTCATGCAGTTCCCACAAAGAATTTCAGGCGATTACATTCAAGTAATGTTTTTTTCTATAGGGCCATGTAAAACTCTCTGATTTTGGACTATGCACAGGTTTAAAGAAAGCCCACCGAACTGAATTCTACAGAAACCTTACACATAATCCACCAAGTGACTTCTGTAAGTATAGCATTGTCTTCTTCAAAGTGTCAGGTTTCTTTGACCTCCCTCAGAAACCTTTATTACAATATTATTCCAGGTGAGGCCTGCTAAATGTATACGTATGATACTTATTTTTTATGACTCCTTTGTGGATAAGGTGATTGTCAATGCGCAATCTATAGAATTGTGTTTTCAGTGAAGTCCGGACTTGACCTGATGCACTCATGGAATGGCCCCAACCGAATGCTGTGTTGCTAATGGCAGTGTTAGTTGAGGCATAATGTTATTTAATATGTTCATGTCTTGCATATCCTTCAAGAAGCTGAAGATGGTATACATGTCTGCCTGCCCCCACTGCACATGCGTATTCCAAATGTTGTCCTTAAAGTAATCCAACATTTGGGCTCAGCAGTGGAGACTAACCCAGTCTTACTCACCAAGATTCGTGGCTGAGTGGGAACTGGATGCAGATCTTCACAGTCCTGGTCATGTTTAATTAAAATATTTGAATCCTTCAGAAAAATCTTTGGAGATGATTTTTTCAGAATATGGACAAAGCACAGAAAAACCAGAGGCCATATTTCTTCGGACACCAGTTCCCCTCTTAGACCATCTTTTTCAGAGAACCACATCGAGTCATCTTTCTTCCTTCACACAAAAGCAGTCCTCTCCTAGGCTGTTGCACACACCCACACCCACGTGCATGCGTATACTATGGGAAGTCAGCAGTCTTTGGCAATGATAAAAATTGCTACCTCTGCCTACTTAGAAATCCTTTGTGCTGAAAGACTCTTATTCGCATATAGAGTGCTGATGCTTAAAAAAAGAATAGTTGAAGGTTTGGTTTTTGAACAATTAGTTATTTTTAACTGTAAATTAAAATTCATACCTCTTGGCTGTGACTGGATTTGGTCAATTGCTTCAATAATTAGATTTGGAACTACAGTGGTGCCTCGCTTAACGGGTGCCCCGTTTAACGAATAATCCGCATACCGATGAAGATTTTGCAATTGCAAAACAATGTTTTCAATGGGGAAAAATCGCTTTGCGATTTTCCCCCTACGCTCCATTTTCGCGCAGCTGATGGGTGGGGCTTCGGGTGGATGGGGGAAGGGACTTCCCTCCCCATCCTCCGGAGCTATGCTGAAATGCCGGCTTCAGCTTCGGGAGGAGGGGGGGAAGGGATTCCCTTCCCCATCCTCCGGAGCGGTGCTGAAATGCTGGCTTCGGCTTGGGGGGGGGGAAGGGATTCCCCTCTCCATCCTCCGGAGCTGTGCTGAAATGCCGGCTTTGGGAGGATGGGGGTGGGGAGCCATCCCTTCCCCGTACCTTCCCCCAGCTGACCAGCGGCGGAGACAGGGGTGAGGGGGTGGCTGGGGGAAAGCCGGGAGGCAGGGCAAGGCCCGGGTGTTCCGGCGGCCCTCCTCCTGCTGCTGCCGCCGGCAGAGACGGAGGTGAGGGGTGCTTCGGGGAGAGTCGGAAGGCAGGGCAAGCTCTGGGTGTTCCGGTGACCCTCCCAGCGGCGCCAGTGGCGGAGACGGGGCTGAGGGGTGTTTCGGGGAGAGCCGGGAGGCAGGGCAAGGCCCGGGTGTTCCGGCAGCCCTCCTCCCGGCGGCGCCAGCGGCAGAGACGGGAGTGAGGGGTGGCTCAGGGAAAGCCGGGAGGCAGGGCAAGGCCTGGGTGTTCCGGCGGCCCTCCTCCCGAGCCCTCGCTCGCCCGCCGCCCAAGAACACCTGGTGTCTCCTGGGCTGGCTAGCTGGCTGGTTGGCAGTGATCTGCTTGGGGAACTGATCATGCCAAAGCAATGCTTTTTTTAACATCTGATCGGCGGTTCCAAAATGGCCATCTGCTGTTTTCTGGACGGATTTCTCGCTTACCGAGGCAGCGAAAATGGCCGCCGCTATGGAAGATCTTTGCTGAGCGTTGAGTTTTTGCCCCATAGGAATGCATTTTCTATGGGGTTTTTTATTCCATTTAGCGATGTTTCCAGATAGCAACGTTAATCCTGGAACGGATTAACGTCGCTATGCGGGGCACCACTGTAATCATTTCCTTGTTGAGAGGATTGTCTCCCTTATTTCCTTACATTTCTCAAATACAATTCAAGTATTATTAGCTGAAATCCTGTTGCATAGCTCTGCTTGCACAATGGGAATCGCAGCAGCAGTTTGCTGCTGATCAGAAGCTTACTTTGGGGATTTCAGAGTGCCCACAGCTTGCAGAGTGCCCACAAACTTTTATGTATCCAGAAATTACAAAAGGAAGCCTTGAATCAGCAGCAGACTGCCCTTGCCAGTTACATTATCCCCTTTGCACGGGAGACCCCATCCAATAGGATTTCTTCTGTTGTGTAGATTTGCTTAATTATGGTCTGGTTGCATGTTGTTCTGGTCATATTTTTAAACAATGGTAGAGATGGGAGAGAATGATGGGGTTGCTTTCCATGTCTTCATTGTGGTGCTTACACTAAAGTAGGCACATTGTCTAAACATGGTATGGGACTGAATAATGTCAAAGTACTTCTATCCTCCCTTGGAGTCAGTGATAATTGAATGTTTTCTTGGGCTATAGAAATTGAAGGCATTAATTTAGATCTCTTTGTTTTGTGAACCAGCATTTCAGAATATGAATTCTAAGAGAAAAGCAGAAACATGGAAGAAGAATAGGCGACAGCTGGTACGTAACATGTTGCCACGTTGTGCTAACTTCTTGTTTTATGAGGGTGTTCCATTTAACATCTGCTTTTTGTAAATGTATTTCTTGTCTTCACATTGATTCATAAGGGTGTACAGTGGTGCCTTGACTTATGAATTTAATCTGTATTGGAACGGTGGCCGTAAGTCAAAACGTTCGTAAGTCAAAGCACCATTTCCTATAGGAATTCATTGAAAACCGATTAATCCGTTCTGGCCAAAGAAAAAAATACCAATAAGAATAAAAAAAAAACACTGCAAGTCCCACGCTGGGACTACCAAAAAAAAAAAAAAACCCCACAGAAACATAACCCCCCCCAGCGCAAACCTAGTCTCCAAAACCCACTCAGAACACCTTTTTAAAAAGGAAAAAGTGGCACCTTACCAAAAGCCTCTGCGGAGGCTTCCTGGGCTTCCCAAACCCACAGAAACATAACCCCCCCCCCAGCGCAAACCTAGTCTCCAAAACCCACTCAGAACACCTTTTTAAAAAGGAAAAAGTGGCACCTTACAAAAGCCTCTGCGGAGGCTTCCTGGGCTTCCAAAGCACCAGCACCTGCCCGCTTCTCCTTCCTCCTCCTGTGCCGCCCCTCCTCCCGAAGCCGGCATTTCCGACCCACGCCTTTGGCAGCACTTACTCACAAGTAGACCCACACCTTCTGCAGCACATACTCACAAGTAGACCCGCACCTTTGGTCGTGCTTAGTCGTAGACCCGCGCTGCCCTGCCCCTCCTTCCTTCTCCTGTGCCCCAGGAGTAAAACAGTTCCCTAACCGTTTGTTCTAACTGTTGGGGCGAAAGAGCTGCAAAGAATCAGCCTGTTTGCCACCAACAGTTTGAATTTTCCCACCTTTCCCCCCTGCCTTTTTCCGTTCGTAAGTCAAAGCTCCATTCGTAACTCAAAGCAACATTTCGTGTCTGGAGCTGTTCGTAACTCAAACGTTTGTAGGTCAGGGTGTTCGTAAGTCAAGGCACCACTATTGAATGGCAGGTGACTTATCCAGAACTGTTTGTCAGCTGAAGACATCACACAGTACAAGTGCTCAACTGCTGTCGGCTAAATTTCAGAATTCTTTTAAGATAATATATTTACTTAACTCAAAAGTTGGAAAATACTGTATACGTTTCTGAACCCTTCAGATACAGTCATTGAGCATAATGGTAAACAATACAAAATATATGCTGGGGAGGGGGAAAAAAAGAAAGGGTTGATGGTTAAGCACCGAGTTCTCCATTTGATCACAGTCATAAGGTAAAAAGTGACAGGGAGCTGTAGAAATTCAAAATAGAATTTTTTTCAGGAGCTGAAAAGTTCTCACATTTCGCCTTAGGGTTTATTAAAGGACTGCTAGAACAATGAAAGAGGTTGATCCGCCACTTTTGAAAAAAAGAAACCCAGCTATTTATTTCAGTTTGAATTGTCTTGTTTTCAGGCCTACTCTACTGTTGGAACTCCAGATTATATTGCTCCAGAAGTTTTCATGCAAACAGGTTACAATAAATTATGTGACTGGTGGTCTCTGGGAGTGATTATGTATGAAATGCTAATAGGTAAGTTTCAGGGTAGGTGCTTATATTTTGGCTCCTTGTCACTCTATTTAATTTCCTCTTTCTCTCATTTTCCACTTCTCTCCCAACATTCACTGGGAGAGCCTTCTGTACCTATTGAGCATGCCGAATCTCATGGAAGTATTTGGGAGGAAGCTTGCTTCTTTACTTGTCTTCCTTAAAAACATTGTATTTTTGCAAGCCATGGCATTTCCCCATATTTGCATGCTTCCCTCTTGGGTATTGGGGGTTAGGGTGCCAAACTGACAACGTAGGACCAGGAGTCGGACAAGTGAAGAAGAATATTTTGGAGTGGGCAGAAGGTAGATTTGCATCGGTTGCTAGGTCTTCTAGGTGATTTGCGGTAAAAGTAGGTCGCTACTGACTCTAATAATAGCAATAACTTTCCTCCCAAGTTAGAATACACATAAAATAAGGGAAGAAAAGCTTAAGTGGGAGCCAAATGTATGCATTAGTCGGAAAGGACTGTGAGTTCAGTTCTATACTTAGGTTATATTCCTGGGCACTCAGGTGCCCTGTTGTTTTCCTCTTATGACAGCCTCTTTTTCTCAGCTACTATTTTGTAAATGCATGCACCTAGTGCATTCTGAGGTTTTTGGATCCTGTATGCTTGAAACCTGCCCACACTGGTGTAGCTGATTCCTAGAAATCATCATTAGAAACTTTTAAATTCTAAGGGGATTATTTCTGCACTAAGAATTTTGAAGAGAAAAGTGAAGAATTAACTGTAGGGTTCCGCGTCTGATGTATAGCAGTTTCTGTAATTTAGGACCTAAGACCCAAGTTCAAATTTCTTTAACACCTTGATTTTTAAAAACATGTCTATAGGTTATCCCCCTTTCTGCTCTGAAACACCTCAAGAAACATATAGAAAAGTTATGAACTGGAAAGAGACACTGGTATTTCCACCTGAGGTGCCAATTTCTGAAAAAGCGAAGGACTTAATTCTAAAGTGAGTGGATAACGTATTTCCAAATGCTCATAAGTGCTCCTCCATTGCTTTTCCTGCATGTGAGTCAAACATATGTGTGCATAGCTTAATTGGACCTACATTTTTAATCTAGATCTTCTGCCATGACCTCAGCAGTATGAGAACTACTGCCATGTGGGTCCTGAATCTGCAAGGGGGAGGGCAGCTGCCCATATTGCCACTTTCGAAGTCAGTATTGCTTTTCAGTCATTCAGGCAAAAGAATGAGACGTAACCAGACTGGCAGCCTTCATGAACTCATTGATTTCACTCTTCTTTTATTTGCCTGCTGGTAGAAGTTTGTGCTTATTGTGTGTAATAAACAATCAGACATGATGAGAAGGCCATGCCAGCCAGTTTTATTACCTGTATGAACTTGCTTCCAGTTGGCATGTAAGAAAGCTTGTTTCTATGTTGGGCATTTATAGAGTGTTGTGAGTCTTTGTATGAACTTGCATCCAGTTGGCATGTAAGAAAGCTTGTGTTGGGCATTTATAGAGTGTTGTGAGTCTATTATTTCGAGATTACGAAAGTGGAATCTCATTTCTGTTGGTACAAGGCATTTCAACATACATTCAGGTACTCCTCCCAGTACTTTTGTTAACATTTTTTAAAAAATGCAATGTTATCAGGTACACTGGAGTTCTCAAGCACAGCCAGAAAAGAACTTCATATGAAACTGCTTAAAATTTTTATCAAAGCACTATCCTGGTTCCATATTACCTACTACTGATGGCAGCAGAATCAGCTGCTACAGCAGTCCCCAACATTTTGGAGCCGCAAACCGGCTGAGCCTCTGAGGAAGGCGGGGCACCCCACCCCCCCGGTGCTTGCACCCATGCTCTTGGGCACATGCCTGAAGCGGTGGGGGAGTGCATACCAGCACTGGTGTGAGCACTCCCCCATCCCTTCACACATGCACAGAAGTGCCTGCACGCCCTCGCACCCACGCCTTCGCATGGGTGCTTGGGCGTATGTGTGAAGGGGTGGAGGGTGCTCATGCTGGTGCTGGCATGCAGAGGTATGCACACAGCAGCTGTGGGGAGGGGAGTGCGTACGTGGATGGGTGGGAGGTCTGTCTCTGTGGCCTGGCCCAGCTCAGGCCATGGACTGGCACCTGGCTGAGGACTGGGGGTTGACGACCTCTGAGCTACTGGAATCCTTTGAATCATTATGCCAGGGGCTAAGTCTGGGACTTAACTCTAGGCGCCATTTACACAGCTACTTCATAACCATCCTCATCATAGGCTTGATTCAAACTGAATCTCAGAACTCTTTGACCATGATGACAATGAGACTGAGGATCACAAACCACAGTAGGAGTTCCCAAACTTACATTTCCCCATGCCTTCATGCTTAAAGTAGTAGTAGTAACAATAGGAGATTAATTTCCATAGCCCTGTGTCTCTTATAAGCTAAATAATCGAAGAACCCTTACCTTCGGTCCATAATTGTTGATCACCTTTGTTGTAAAACAGCTTTGTTTTTCCTCTTTCAGATTCTGCACTGATGCAGAAAACAGAATTGGTAGCAATGGAGTAGAAGAAATTAAGACTCAACCCTTTTTTGAAGGTGTTGACTGGGGACATATCAGGTATTGATGGTGAAAGATTAAAGTACATTTGTGGGAAAGAAGGTCTCACCCTGTTTGGTCTAGAGATGTTCACAGAAGATTGCATTGTTAGGGTTTTTTGGGGGTGTGTGACAATTCAGCACTCCAACTGTGCCCTAATGGAGGGGAACACTCCACTCTGCTAGTGTAGGTAACACAAGGATGCCCAGGCTTTCCACTGTGCAACTGGAAAGCAACAAAGGAGCAGCCTTATTTCCACCTGTTCAAGTAGGAAGTGGATACCTCCTTAAGCAAATAAGAAATCAAATTCCTTGGGCAACAGCCTGTTGGTTAAGCAGTTTGCCTGCATATGTGTAAACAGGCCTGTAAACTTTTTAACTGGCGCACAGGATTCTGTCAACAATAAAAGTGGATTTTTAAGCATGACTCCTGTCAGAAGGACACTGTCATTTGTGCTCCCCCCCCCCAACTGCCTTTCATTTTTGGCAGTTAATCATTTTGTTTGCCAATTATACTGGCAGTCCTCTTTTTTTAAGGACTATCTCTAAATTGTCATTTGGCTTTTGCATATTTAAAGTCAGCTAACTTCAAAATGTTCACCAGTTTTCCATTGGCAACTATAAATAAAATATAGTATGGTGAAAAAAAGATTTCATTTGGTGAATAGATTGGCAAACAAAATTTAAAAAGACTTCACAGTAGTGTGACAAGGACACCGGGGAGCCTGAGTGAAATGATAAGAGAACCAGCCTGGTATATATGCAGTTGTTTATATTCATATTCACATAAGACAGACATGTATTCTTTAGAGACGTAAGCTGGCTTGAAAAAGCTACAAATCAGTTAAACAAACCTACAATGTTAGGTACTAGAAAGATGAAAGAGTGTATGTATTTAGCATGTAGGAAATGGGGAGTGTTTTTTTTTTAAAAAAATAAGATGATGTTCTGGGATAATGGGTCGGGAGGAAAAGAAGTTAAGCATAAAATGTAGTAAATACATAGTCAGAACAGAAAAAGTTCAATGTTGGGGAGAAACTGAGAGTTTTCCAGTGTATGGAAGCAGGGCCTGAAGAGTAGTCTGTTCCCCACAAATTGAGAGATGCTGTAGTTCTTTTTCGCACAACCTAAATTGGAAACTGTCTCATTTGAAACCCAAGTCTGTCACTCTTAATTGCCATTCTTCTGACTAACCTAGGAAAGGGAATACCTCCTCCTCCTTTACAGGTCTCATTTACTAAGTATGCATTGAAAGGAGCCTGACAGAGAAACTTATTGCTTCTCTTCACTTCCAGCATTGCAACATAAGGTGGAAGCAGAATGGTATACCTTTTGTGCCATGGAGAAGTAAACACTGTAGGGATTGACGGAGGAAAGGGGGACTCTGATGTCCAGACTGCTATTGTATTTCTTCAAAAGCAAGATTCAATTGTGTTGTGAAACTATAATAAAGTTGTTTATGCGCTTCACTACTCTAATTTTTCTAGGGAGAGGCCAGCTGCAATCAGCATAGAAATTAAAAGTATTGATGACACATCCAACTTTGATGAATTCCCAGAATCGGATATTTTACAGCCAGGTGGGAACCCATGTTAATATTTTGATCTTCATTAAATTTGCCACACTTTTGAAACAAATGGTTGTCTTCAGATTTTGTTTTTATTATCCTGATGCTACCATCTCGCCTTATAGTTTTAGCAGGCCACTGGCATCTCTGTGCAACGTTGTGGGAAATGTCACACAGCGTGTGTGACTGTGCAGTGTGAAGTAGTCCTCATTCTGCATCAGGAATAGGACAGATTTAGCTCTCCAAATGCATTAGGACTACAACTCCCATTAGTCACTACCAGCATACCTGCTAGTGAGAAAACATGGGAGCTAAAGTCTAACAATGCTGAGAAGACAGTGGACATTCTGGATGAGGGATTGTAGGTGCTATACTCCAAAATAATAAATTTTCCTAGTTGAGATCTAAGGTGACTATGACTGGCTGGTCAGCCCAATTTCACAGAGGGGCATAAAATATCCTGTATTCAGTTACCTGAGTACCTCCTACAGAGGGGCAAAGAAAGCAAATTAAAACAAAATAAAAATTAGGAGAATTGCTTTAGCTTATAAATTTGTAAAACAACTAATAAAAATACATTTAGGGGGAGAGGGAGAGGCAGGGACCTCTTAAAAGAAAAGGTAAAAAGGCAAAATGAATGAAGCAAAGGTGCAAAGGAGAAGAGACAATGCATGCCAAGGGAAAAGGAGGGATGTGTGAAAAAGGGAGGGACTGGCCAGTGGAGAGCCTGAAGTTCCTGGATGGGTTTCAAGTGGCCAGCCAGATTTCTGACTTCAGGGTTCACATTAGTAGGAACTGAATTTTTCTTCCAGGAACGTGTGAGATGCTGTGCCACAGTAACATAGCTCTGGCCCTAGTGAATTTGTAATCCAGGTAATAACCTGAGGAATGATGATGAGAATTAGAGGAGTAGTCAGAATGTAATGCTGTTCTTGGTGCAGCTTTCTGGGAAAGTCATAAGGAAAAGGGAGTAAATGAGGCATAGGGGAGACCAGAAAGAAGAGAGTGTTCCTGAGTTTTTGTAGAAATATGGAGAAAAGTGTTTAAAACTCAGAAAGAGAAAAGGAAATGATTGAATAGGTGGGACAGTCATAGTACTGGTTTTAGCAAGAGGAGATGCAAGGAAAAATTTGAAAACAGAGATGGCAGTCTGAACCAAGGAAAGCCTTGGAGACCTGTAATCTCCTGTTCAGTTTTTTCCTGCACAACCAATGAATGATGAAATATAGCTTGGGTGAACTATCCGTCTGTAATTGTTTGATAGCAAATGCATCTAAATTAATCTCTTTATTTTTTAAAAAAAAAATTACTTGAAGCAGGTGTTGAGATAATGGTACTGCTTGGTTGGCTAAGTGGCCTCCAGCTAGATTGTGTAGGTAATTAAGGAAAGGACATATGGGGATCAGAACACTGGAAGAAAAATATGCTATTTTGTCTATGTGTGTAGTTTTGCTAGTGAACTAGCTCAATGGGTTGGAGCACCTAGCAGCAGTGTCAGGGTCCTGGAATCTGAACCCCCTCTTTGCCTCTCAGGAGAGGGGCCAGCCTAGATCAGTGCGTAGCTAGTGGCATCATATGCCTTCCAATGTTTGCGATCTTGAACAAGCTGCAGAGTCCTAGAATGCCACAGTAAGGAGGGACTGGTAAACCACTTCTGAATATTTCATACCTGCAAAACCCTCAAATGGTTGCCGTAAGTCAGAATGGACTTGATGGCACATCGTGATTATTTATTACTTATGCTTGCTATTCATCTTCAGAACCCAGGCAAAATCTGTTCTGTGTTACACTGTTTACCTATGTAAATAAAAAATTTATTTCATACTTCGTCGGTGATTAAGGCCATCTTCAGATTTTCTTAATAACTTGACATTGCTTGGTATTTATGTATATGTTTGTAATCTTTATGTTTTAATTTCTAGTGCCAAACACCACGGAACCTGACTACAAGTCTAAAGACTGGGTTTTTCTTAATTACACCTACAAGAGGTTTGAAGGGCTCACGCAGCGTGGCTCCATCCCTTCATACATGAAAGCGGGGAAGTTGTGAAACTCAGCAGAAATAAAGCATAAATAAGAACTCAGGTAGCTGCTGCATCACCAAGACACGCTTGGCATAGACCTTGATACACTGAAAAAGTTCACAGACTGGTGCACATTGACTCCACCGAGAAATTAGGAAATTCTACCGGATTAGGATTTCTAAGACTACTACAAGAATTAGTTGGCAGTGCCAGCTGGCTTCTTCCTTTTCTTTTCTTTTTTTTTTAATAGTGAATATTTTTGTTAACTTTATTATAACAAAGGTACTGGAATAAAAAAGGAATGAATATCCTCTTTGTATTTGCACTGCCTGTGTGTGTGTAAAAATCAGTTATGCCTCTGTTTGTACTGTGGCTCTGTTTGTACTGTAATACATCTAATTTGCCCAGTTGAAAACACACTGCATATGAAAGGAACAACCAATACCCATTTCTTAGTAAAGTTGCCTCATCATGTGTTATCCTGGGCAGGCTTTTAGACAATATGAAAGCCAGAAGCCATTTTTTGTAACGATGTTCCCTACTGATGAAAAGTGGTGTATCATAAGTTACGATGGAACTATTTACATATCCTCATCCAAACCAGCTAATTTTCAAGAATTTTGTTCCTGGTTTTCTTTGGTTGTTTTTTTATTTTTATTTTTTAATATTTTGCTTAATGGCTTCTGCTCTAACTCAGGGCTTCAAAGTACTAACACTGAAGAGACATGCTTCAGATTGCAGCTAGTAGTCTTGCTGATGTAGAACTGGGATCTGTCCCACAGTGTACCCAGCATAATAAACCACAGCTGCAATTCTTTATTTTCAGGGGCTGGAAATGGTATGTTCTCCAACTGAAGACAATTAAACACCAGAGTACAGCTGAAATATCTAGAAAAGAAAAGAAAAAAGCTGGGACAATGAGATTAGGCAACAGTAGAAGATATTTTTGAAAAATCTATATATAATGCCTTTTGCTCCTTTGGCCCTCCCCCCGTCCTCCCAAATTAATTTTCTTCTGATAGTTTGTTGTGCCATTTTATTCTCCTCTTGAATACCAAAGATCCTGAAATGGCTTGATTGCAAATCTTACGCAGTTATATTTTCCAGAAGTGTATGCGGTTTGCTTTTCTCAAGAATGGGGTGTCAAGAAGGGTGGAAGCTTTTACTTTCCTTTTTTAACTTCTTAGGTTTAGTATTCAGAACTGAAATCCTGGAGATGATGGCTGGTTTGTTGAGGCAAAGATTGGTTGTGGGCTATCCACAGTTCTGGATGTGGGGTTAAATGGTTACAATTGAGATTTGAAAGGCCTGGAAAACATTCATCTCATTTTTAACCCTCAAGTGGGGTGAGAGGTTCTAATTTTTTTCAAGAAAACTCCCTCCCCCGGGCTTTAATGTTTCTAGATTTCAGGCACCATGAATAAGAGCTGATTGACAGAATCAGAAATTCTCTTGGTAAAATTATATTACTTTAGAAGGCAGAGTAGTGGGCAAATACCATCGTGTAAGCGAGCAAAGTTCCCCCATGGAGGCAATAGCATGTTGGGAGGGAAACTGGAACTTTTCTTCCTGACATAGTAGCTTCCTACAGGAAACATGTTTTAATGCAGTGGCATCTCCAAACTTGTAAGCTTTTGTAGCCAATTCCCCATCATCTGCCTTATAAACTGTGCAAAAAATAGGAAGAGTTTTATATGTAGAAATTATTGCCAGCATCCAATAATAATACTAGAACAATTGAGTTAGGTGGTTTATTTTTTATTTCTGTGGGCTGGTTACTGAAAACCACATTCACTTGGGTACAGTATGAGAGAAAAGATCATGGTGTTTATTCAGGTTAAAACTGAGGGTAGATTACAGAAGGCTGTATGCCCTGCTTAGAGCCATGGTTAATGTCTACGGATCTGCTCCACAACTCGCTTTATTGAAAGGCCATTTTGAGAGAAGGAATTAGGGAGTAACAGGTTATCTACTATTACCACTCTTGAAAGGAAGGTGCTGGCTGTAGTCATCCAGTCTCTTCATAACACCTCTTTGACATCTGGGTTGACAAATAGGCATAGCTCAGAGAATTATTTTGGCACGGCCTATGCTGGCTGGCAGATTCTGTGAGTTTCAATCCACAAAATGTCTTCTTCCTGCTCTGTAATTAGGTGCTGTAAACTTCTCCCCTGGGGGGTGAGGTGGTCAGCTTTGCTAATCTTCGTTGTGGACATGTTTTTCTCTCTTCTTTCTACAAGACTAGTATTGACAACAGTCTAAAGAACTTTACTGGGAGATAGAAAGAAATCTGTGCTAAGTTTCTATTTTTGATCTTTATTTTTCACTATAACAAATACACACGGCTCTTCCTCAATAGTCAGGGCTTCAGAAGTCCTACTTTCTCTGAAGGTTTAAACTGTACCCTGTTTAATGTTCATTACATTTCAAAATATTGCTTTAAAAATTGAATGGCAACTATCTTTTTCTAAAAGACAATTCAATGGCTGTGGTTCTGGAAAAGTTACAATAGAAAGCATTATAAAGATTTATATAAGGCTTTTTACAGCATATTAAATAAACATGGCATTCTTTTGTAAAGTTGTATCTTTTTGTAAAATACGCTACAATACTTTACCATTGCTTACCATTTTTTTCATCTAAAGGCAAGTTACGTTTGTAATTGCTTATCTTTATTTGTAGCCACCTAGAGTGGTTGTTTGACCAGATAGGCGGGGTACAAATAGAATGAATGAATGAATGAACGAACGAACGAACGTACGTACGTACGTACATACATACATACATACATACACACACACATACACACGCGCGCGCACACACACACATACAGACATACAGACACAACTGGAACCATATTGTTACATTTTACATTTACTTTCAGTAGTCCTTTTATTATTCATTAGGTCTTCGCGCCCAGGCTTCAGCAACTATCTTTTGAGTATTTCTTTTTCTGAAGATTTCAAGTTCTAAATCTTGCAAGTTTCTGGGCCAGTTTGCAAGCTTGTTCTTGTAGGATTTCACAGTTCGTAACTCCATTAAAGGAAATGAGTCTGTGCACAGTTAAAAATGTCCTCTCCACATGCACGGCCTGATCTTCTCTAATGACCACACCCTTATATAACATGTTCCATCGATGCAAGGTGTCTCTCACTAGCCTGCAGCTTTCCACTCAGGAATGTAACTGTATGATGATCTTCCTTGTCCGCCTGGCTCAGCACGGCTCCATGTTCGAATCTGGATACATCAGTGTGGATGGTGAAGTCCTTCCAGGACTCCAAACCTCTCATGACCTGGCTGGCCATCAATGCCTCCTCCAGCTTCCCAACGACCTCCTTGCAGTTGCTTGTCCCCTGGATATTTTCATCTTTCTTTTTAAGTGTCAGGTCAGATATAAGGACAGCTATTTCGCTGAACTTTGGTATACACTTTGGAGTTGCACCTCTGGTATCAATTTTGCGCACTACTCCCTTTGCTACCCCTGGTTTGTTTGAGAAGACCTGCTTGTGTCTCATCATCAAGGCTCTCGCTTCTTTTTGTTTCTTTGGGGAAAGTAAGGGACTGATTTGGACATCTTCAGGGATATATTTGGGTTCACCCCCCCTTCCCAATAGTGTAATTTATATCTTTCGTTGTCAGCTTCTTTCCTAGCAAATAGGACAATGTTTTCCCTTCTATAATACGGTTTTATCATGTTTATTTGAACCACTTTCCGCCCTGGTTCTCCCTCCTCTTGGATTATATAATTTATTTTGTTCATTTTGATTATTCTGTACGGACCTGCCCAATCTAATTGCAATTTGTTCCCTTTGATGAGTCTTAGCTTCAGATCCTCATCTCCAGGGTTGAAAGTTCTCTCTCTCTCTGGCCTTTCTATCATACCATATTTTTTGTTTCTGTTGCTGGCCCTGTAACTTTTCTGCTGCAATCTCTAGTGAGTTCAGCAAAGTGTTCATTAAGTTATCTACATATTGAATTACTCTTTCGGGACCTTGCTCCCCCTCTAGTTCCTCCCAATTTTGTTGGAGTGAATTTAGGGATCCCTGCACCTTCCACCCAAACAACAGTTTGAAATGACTGAACCCGGTGCTTTCCTGGGGTACAGATCTATAAGCGTACAGTAATTGTTGTAATTTGTGGTCCCAATCATTGGGTTTCCCTGCAATGTATGTCCTACTCATACGCATGAGGGTTCCGTTAGATTTCTCCACCAGTTCTTTTGTTCTTGTAATATCTAAATGCCCAAAAAAGGTGTCTGCGTGTCCTTTTTCCATTAATTTCTGTCTGTATTTAGAAGGGATTATTTAGTTGTTTATGAAGACACTCCCCTCCTGGGATTTATTAAGATCTCTCTATATAAAAGGTCTTTTTCCTCAAAGCACCTCTCGGGGTTCTCAGGGGTTACTGGACCTTCGCTAACCCTTTTAAATAATTGTTCCAAAGTAGAATCTGCTGCTTCTTCCTTTTTTAAATGTACTCTCATTTGGATTCCTCACGGTTACTAGATCAGCTATCTCATTGTTCCCTCTTATTAGTTCATTAAGGAATTCAGGTTTTTTCTCAGATATTTCTTTATTGTCAAAGAAATCATAAAGGTAAATCACATAAGATCACTTAAGAACTGTATCAAGTTTTAACATGGATTGGATTATGTATGCAATTACTTTTATACCAACTACTATGTACTTTCAATCAATATCTCTCTGGTAGTACTAGTAATGCCATTCTTGCTTGTCCAATATCTTTTATCTCACTTCCCTCTCCTAACACTCAGCTCAAATCTTCTTCTCACTGCTAAACCCTAACTGCCATTTCACATCTCTAACTGTCTCTCTAACTGTCCAACTGTCTATCTAACTCCGCCCCTCCTCCCCTATCCTTGACTCCTCCCCCTTGAGCTTCTGTGATGGACAGGCAGGAATGATGTCACCTTTTGGCATTTCCCTACATAGGCATTCCACACAATCTTCTCTCCTGCACAGCCTGTGGATAAAATTGCCATGCCATTTATTGTGGGATTGCCAAGGCCACACTTTTCTCTTTAAAACATGTGCCTTTGATATAAGATAGTGGAAATGTTTTGGAAAGTGAACCAGACTGCCTGTCCAGACATATAACCCTGCCAAGAAGATACTTCAGAATACAAGTTTCAAGGTGTGTATGACTGACAACAGTCCTCTCCACATTTTCCAAGAAAATTTCCTGCCCATATGAAAAGACACGTTCAAGTTTTTTAACCTAATGTACTTTTTCCATGGAATGGCATTTTACTCTGCTCAGATCTATTGCTTCTGGAAGATAATGCTGCCAAGTCTTCTTTATTGA